TTTCAGCCAAACATAAATTTAGTCAAATCTTTAATGCATTCTATTAAGGCACGAATAAGGCTTTAAAGCTTTGGTCTCAGCTACAGAGTAGCTGGGTCTAGAGCTGAACCAATTGTAAACAGCCAGAAAAAAAATTTGCCTTTGGTCATGGTATTTATTCTCAACCAAAACCAGCTGCTGTCGAGTTGACTCTGACTCATGGTGACCCCACGTGTGTCAGAGCAGAACTGTGCTCCATAGGGTTTTCAGTGGCTGATTTTTTGGAAGTAGATCGTCAGACCTTTCTTCCAAGGCACCTCTGGGTGGGCTTGAACCGACAACCTTTTGGTTAGCAGCTGAGTGCGTTAATCATTTGCACCACTCAGGCACTCCACAGTGTCATCTAAAATAATGAACAGTTTTTTCCAGTGTAGAAATGAGCAATTACGTGTCATTATAAAATGACAAATTTTACAAGGGGACTAGTTTGGTTTTATTCCCCCAACAGGCTAACCTCTATTAGATTGCTCTCAGGCACTCACCTCACCACTTTCCTAAAACAAAGCACTGGTAGAAGGTCACCAACCATGTTTTCCACCTCCATTTGAGGTGGCGGAAGTATTTTCTAACAGCTAGAGTTTGCATAGTCTGCGGTCTTCCAAAATGGCTAGGCAAGGTTTAGAATGACAAATCTATCCTTATGCTTTCAGAATTATTTAAGCTTTAAATAATTTGGAGTTCCATATATGGAAGGCTTTATATGAGAAGACTAGATAAACCTGCTGTACGCTATAGCTGAGAATACATACTCAGAAATGCGATCAGCATTCAGCCTTGGTTGGATCATCAAAATCCCAGGATGATAAATACAGGCTACATGGGAGCTTTGTTGCTTTGACATAGCTTTCTGGGCACATGGCTGGAAAGGGGTGCAGTCTAGGGAGTGGCAAGGGGAGGAAAAAGGGGGCTTAGCTACTTTGACAAGGAGCTATGATTACTTCAATCTGCACTGTCCAGTACTGTAGCCTTTGGCCAGAGGTCCCAACTGAGATGTGCTATAAGAGTAGAAGACATGCTTGGTATGAAAAAAAGCATGTAACACATCTCAACCATTTTTATATTGATTGCATGTTGAAATGAGAATAGTTTGAGTGTTTTTTTTCACCTTTTTTAATGTGGCTACTCAAAATTTAAAAATTACAGATGGGGCTTACAATTTTATTTCTGTTGGGCAGCACTGCTTTATGCCCTTTTTAAGTGGTGGAATTAACGGTTAATGTTTACTTTCTTCCTTGTGTTTTCTGTGTTTCTCAAACGGAAAATAGGAGAAATAAACAATATTGTGTCTTTGAGGGAAAAAAATATAGATCATGGATTTTGGAGTCAGGCGAGCATGTGTGCTAGCTATTCCACTTGGACAGCTAACTTTCTCTGAGCCTCAACTTCCTCATCTGTAAAATGAGACAGTAACGGTTCCAATCTCTCCAGGTTGTTGTCAGGAGTGAGAAATGCATGAGACATTAACAGAGGATGCTTATAAGGCACAGAAAATGGCACAGAGAAAACAATTGATATTCTGCATGTTTTCTTGGTTATATCTCAAGACATGCATTTTTTTTTGTCAGATGCATTTTTTTTTTTTTTAAATCTCTGTCCATTTCTAAGGTCCTTGTCTACTTTGTTCTCTAAGTTTGTATCTGCTCTCTTATCTATCTACTTCTACACCCCGCACATCAAGCTTTCTTTTTTTCCCTCATCATTGAAGCATCTCTGGTCCAGGTCCCCATTTTCTGCTGTGTCTTCAGACTGAGCTATCTCCCACTTATTTCCTTTAGCTCATTTCAACCTTCAAGGAAGAATTCTATCCTGGCCAAAACTACAAAACAGTCTTCAACTCTTTGTCTGTACCCATGCCTGGCCTCCTACCAGGATGCTGGATCTTGTTTTTTACTGAATACCACTTCTTTTGATGAGTTGATCAGTTAAGGACAACTGACGGCCGGCAAAGGGGGGCAAAGTTAACAGAGAACAACAGCAACCCAAACCCATTACCATTGAGTCGATTCTGACTCATGGCAACCCCATGTGTTACACAATAAAATTGCTCCAGAGGGTTTTCTTGGCTGTAATATTTATGGCAGCAGATTGCCAGGACTTTCTCCCACAGCACCGCTGGGAAGGTTCAAACTACCAACCTTTAGGTTAGCAGTCAAGTGCAAACCTTTTGCGCCACCTAGGGACAAGGGTTGGGTAAACAAGAAAACCAGGAGCAAACACAGGACAGAAAAAAAGCAATTTCATCAATTCTCTCCCCTTGCCCCACAACCCAGCCTTCTTTTCTCACTGCCTTGCCTCCAGGCCTTAATGGCTGTGGTGTGTTCAGCCTGTGGTAAGTACAAGCCGGTTGTCTCAGCGCCTCTCTAGGCTTTCACAGTCTCCCATAGCGTATCACAGCACACATCTAAAACTATGTGCTCCCTTTCCATATTCTGAGAAATAAGTCATCAGATGAAGATGGTTGTATTTGCTCTCTGAAATTCAGTGACAGGGAAGACGGAAAAAAAATCAAAACTTTGTGAAGACGGGTGGCTTCCCTCGATATGGTAAGCATCCTAGCTCCTTCCCAATTAATGAGATGAACCTGTCAGTCAGAGCAGCATAAGAGGGAAATGAGGAACAGTACTTTAAGGACGAACTTGGAATAACACAGGTTCCTGGAAACACCAGCTCTGCTCAATGCCGTGAAAAAAAAAAAAAACAACAACAAAAAACCTTTTTCCTACGCAAGCTTTTATTTAAAAAGAAAAAAAAAAAATATCAGAAAAAGGTTGATTTTTATTCCCATCCACCAAATGTAACTAGGTGATTCAGAATAGACTCTTGACTTAAAGTGATTTTTTGCCTTTTCATCAGATCAATAAGTTACTTTGCCGATTTTATTTTTAGATTTACTAAAGGTTCTCAGGGTAGCAAACTCAAAGCAGAGAAATAAGCACATTGGTTTGAACTTCAAGCTTGGGCTGAGGTTTGACAGGAGAAACCCTTGGAAGTTAACAGGGGAGCAGCATTTCGAGGCTCTTGCTGACAGCTGGGATTTGTGAGGATTTGTCGTTGGAGGGGCTGGGCTTTTTCGGTGCCAGAACACACACCCAGGGCACCTCCATCCCAGGCCAGGGATGCTCAGGTTAGTGCGTGCAGGGGTGCCAGCCCTGGATGCCTCAACATGACTGTTTGCGCTGGAGCATTTATTAATGAAATATTTACCATCAGTCAGAGGCAGGAAGGGATCATTGCCAACAGTCACTTCCCTGTGGCTTCTTAGAAAATCAGAAGGTTTGAAAATGTGAATGAATTTTCCTTATGTTGTACTATTGAAGTTTAGGGAAGGGAGGAATGCTTTCTAAAAATCTAAAGCCCTGTTTTGAGGTATTAGCTCTCCAAAGAGGAACTTAAATTTTGGCGTCTTGGCTCCCCAACAGGAGGCAGCAAAGGCTCAGCAGATCTCTCATCTTCCCCTCCTTGCTGTTGTTGCGTTACTGTAGTAAACCACTCTTATGACACCTGTGGGATCAGTTGTTGGTGTGGCCTGGTAACTTCTGTCTGTCAGAGGTTTGTAGGAATAGCGATGACTGTGTAAGCTGGAATGTGAACAAGTATACATGCAGTCAACTTCTGCTGCACGTAGGGGGACTACAGAGGGGTCACTCTTCTCGTGGTTGTTAGTTGCTGTTGAGCTGGCTCTGGCTCATGGCGACCTTATATGTACACTGAAGCCTGTGAGAGCTGGAACTCGAGGGGACTGCCTTGTTTTCCCAGGTCTCACAAGTTTTCCACCTTTGACTGGGTGCAGTGTTACACTTTTGTATTGCTCATTTAGTGAGAAATATTTAAATTTTCCTTCTCTGACAGGTTTCTGCCTTACACAGGCTCTGGCTTTCACAGGTTTTACTGTATTACAGAACAAAATGTTGCTCAGTCTTGCACCATCTTCACAATTGTTGGTATGTTTGAGCTCACTGTTGCAGCCACCATGTCAATCCATCTCGTAGATGGTTTCCCTTGTTTTTACTGACCTTCTACATTACCAGACATGATGTCTTTTCCTAGCGGTTAGTCTTTCTTGATGACGTGTGCTATGTGAGCTAGCCGAAGTCTTGCCATCCTCACTTCTAAGGAGCATTTTGGCTGTACTCTCTTCTCTAGGGTCTGCTCTTTTTTCTGGGCTGCTGACCCTGTGGCTCTGTGCTGGGAAGGCAATAAACACATTACTGACTGAAACCTAAAAGACCAAGTAAAAGGAAGTTTTATATTTTTTCCAAATTGCTTTGGAATAATTGTCTTTTTCTTCCCCCATGAGGGTAGAAGAGATGAACTATCTAAAAGCATTTGAAAAGAAGAAAACAGGTGCCATTGCAGATACACACATCATAAATACAGGTGTACCCTCCAAGCACATGTGTGTCCAAAAAGCATTCTCTGTGACAGGCTATTTCTGATCTTGCTTCCCCTGAAATTGAAGGAAGCATCAGTGCGATTAAATCTGCCTCATTGTCACCAAAGGGCAATAGTTCCCTTTGACTTGAAAAGAGCATCAGGTCTTCTTTATGCAGACATTATCTAAAATATAAATACTGTTTAATATGGCTAGCCTGTATATATCTATTTCTTTAAGACAAAAAGATAAAACCAGATTTATGGACCATATAAAATGCTTCGTGGATACACAAACATCAATGAGAACATTTTTTGGAAATTAAAACAGGCATCAACAGGTATAAATAAACTGTCTAAAGCATTTAGGGTCTTTAACACAGCCAACTCCCCCAGCCTTCAAACAGCGTTAAATTCTTTTTTTTTGCTAGTGGCAAAAGAAGCTGTGAAGCACAACATTGAGAAATTGGTACCATTTCCTGGTCAGTAAGCACAGAACCGAGGGGCTAAATATTTTAAGGTTTTTTTTTTTTTTTCCCCCCTTTCTTTTTTGGTTCTCATGCCGTTCCTCTCCTCTCTTCCCTGCTCAGGGCTGATCGTGGTGACATTAGCCGTGTGCTGGATGCCAAACCAGATTCGCAGGATCCTGGCCGCGGCCAAACCCAAGCACGACTGGACCAAGGCCTACTTCCAGGCATACATGATCCTGCTGCCCTTCGCAGACACCTTCTTCTACCTCAGCTCCGTGGTCAACCCACTGCTGTACAACGTGTCCTCGCAGCAGTTCCGCAGCGTGTTCATGCAGGTGCTGCGCTGCCGCCTGACACTGCAGCACGCCAACTACAAGAAGCAGATTCGCGTCTCCACCGACAGCCCCCGCTCCGCCCGCCCGTTGATCTTCACATCTTCCTGGCGCCACTCGTCTGCAAGGAGAACTAACAAGGGTTTTTTAAGCACTTTCCAGAGTGAGGCCAAAGCCGACCCTAAGCCCTCGCCATTGAGTCTCAATTCACTGGAGCCCAACTCCGAGACAGAACCAGTGGAGGCCGCTGCAGAAGCCAATTCTACTGCAGAGAATGGTCTCCAGGAGCATGAAGTGTAAATGTCAAGTGAGGAAGCCCTGCGTGGTAACCCGCCCTCCCCCACCACGCACAGGCAAAATCACCCCCCACGCAGCAGTGACAGAATGAACCTTAGCCCCATCAGGGACAGAAATGGAAGCTGGGGGACTCCTCGGAAAAGGCCGGTGTCTACCTTAGTGCCTTCTGAGGGTGGATTCCGGCTGACCGGCCTTGACTCTTGATTACACTTTTGAGAGTGGAGTTCGTTCCACCCCCTTCCTTCAAGTCCACACTGAAAACTCAGACTGAATTTATTCAGAGCTTACAAAAATGTTTGACACGGCGCTCTTTCATTATTCGCAAAGGAACAATAAAGAAAGAGGACACAGACTCCTCCCTACCCCAGAATACACGGACACCCAGAAGAAATCGGCCAGAGGGGGCGCGCGAGGGCCAGGAGAACAACGCGGGAGTGGCTGGTGGGCTCCTTCAGCTTCAGCAGTGTACCAAGGAGCGGGCTAGTTTGAGGAGCAAGACGGTGGTGAGGAGCTCTGGCCGCAGGGCTGCGGCAGAACTGCCCCTTTTCTTGGGCCGGGGCCCGTTGCAGAGCGGGGTGTTGCAGCAACTGATGCACACTGAGTTCAGTTTCCCCGGGGAGCAGAAGGACTGGTACCCGGCAGAGGCGATGAGGCAGGCCGCGGACGACGCACACGACTTGCGGTACATGATTCCTGCAACATAGACCCAAAGGAGCTTGGTTAGCATGCGCTGGTCAGTCAGCTGCCCCTTTGAGCCCAAATCCTAAAAGCCAGGGCAGTGCTCCAGGGTATTTCGTGGTATGGTGAAGGAGGCAGTCATCATTTCACCAAAGTTGTGCTACAAGCTATTCTGGGTGCCAATACCACTTACTATACTAGGGAATAAAGAGCCGTAAAATCAAAGTCTAGTTTTTTAAGCCGGAGTTCACACTGTGCACTACCACAGAGCTTTTTAGTTAGTTAGACTATCTTTTTTTTTTTTTTTTAACCACAGAGCTTTTTAGTTAGACTATCTTTTTTTTTTTGGTTCAAACTCTCTAAGGCCAGGGAGGACCACAGCTGCATTTCTAGATTGTATCTTTATTAATTACTATTACTATATAAGTGATGACAGAGATGTGGCTCTCAACTACGTTATTTATTAAATCCAGGAATATTCTCAAAGACCAAATCCCCTTCTGAAGTAGCCCTGATCTTTTCCCAGGTTTGAAGGGCCCACTGGGTTGGGGTGAAGGAGGACAGGTTGGCAGAGTGCCCAGGTCAGTTTTTTTGTCATGAAGTTTTGCGCTTAGAACGTGGCCATTGCAAAGCTGGCCTTCAGTACCATGCACTGTTTGGCTATGTCAGGAAGCCTCTTGGTAAGACTGGAGGACTGTTTTAAACAAAGGCATCGAAACCAAAACCAAACCACTTGCTGTCGAGTCGATTCTGACTCGTGGTGACCATGGGTTGCAGAGTAGAACTGCACCATAGGGTTTTCAGGGCTGTGACCGTTTGTAAGCAGATCACCAGGGCTTTCTTCTGAGGCACATCTGGGTGGATTCAAACGGCCAAACTTTTTGGTTAGTAGTTGAGCGCTTAACCATTTATGCCCCCCAGGGACTCCCCATCATCAAATTAGGGTGTCTTAGATTGCCATTTGTCTTCTTAAAGCTGGAAGTTTACTCAATTCAAATAATAATAGCTAAGCTTACTTAAACAGCCACAACAATGGACTCAAACATACACACATACCAACAATCTAGAAGATGGCACAGGATGGCTAATGTTTTGTTCTGTTACATGTAACGTCAGAGCCAACTTGATGGCAGCTAGCCACAAGCTTACTGAGTGCTTTCTCCTATATGCCAGGCACTATTCTAAGGGCCGTAGTGTGTACTAGCTATTTACTATCATCTACAACTCTGTAACGGAAGTCACATGATCATCCCCATTTGACAGATGGGAGGAGGGCCAGCCAGAGAGGTTCAGTAATTTGCCCAAGGTCACACAACTAGAAGGTGGAGCTGGAACTGGATCCCAGCATCTGGGCTTCATGCTGTCAAGTCTATATTACTGTATGGCAAACAGCCAACCACAATGGTGGTGTTTTTTTATTTTTTGGCTTTATGTTGCATCATCAAAGATGGCTTTTGATGTGTGTCATGGAGAGCTGTTTTATTTTGTATCAATAAATTACTTTTTTTTTTTTTTGACAAACAGCAGTATTTAATATTAAAACTCAGACGGGAAGTGAATGGTTTCAGCCTGGTTTTTGGCCCAGCACAGCTGAAGGCTCTAACACATCCCACTAGCAGCCAGGGCTCCTGAGCCACTGCTTCCTGGCAGGTGCATGTATGCAGATGTCCTTTTGGTCTGGGCCCTTGCTCCTCCTCGAGAATTGCTGCTTTGGGTGCTTTGGAAAAGTAAAGAATTGAACTCCCTAAAACTTCCAAGTGGGAGGTAAGAAGTACTTTAGATTTACATTAGAACATGCAATTTCATGTCATTCTTTTCTATAACCGCAACTTTAGAAGGATCGATTTTCTAACACTGTTAGAAAGTCCTGAAAGGTGACTTGTCTGGAAGATAAAGCCCAGGTCTAGAGGGGAGGGAGACATTGTTTGATTTCTAAGGCCTGTGCTCAAAATGAGAAGAAACAGCTGCAAACGTCTGTTAATAATAGGAACGTGGAATGTAAGAAGTATGAGTCTAGGAATAGTGAAAGTTGTCAAAAATGAAATGCAATCCATAAACAACATTGATACCCTAGGCATTAGTGAGCTGAAACGGACTGGTATTGGCTATTTTGAATCAGACAATCATATGGGATACTATGCCAGGAATGACAAATTGAAGAGGAATGGCATAGCATTCATCGTCGAAAAGAACATTTCAAGATCTATCCTGAAGCACAACCCTGTGTCAGTGATAGTATAATATCCATAAGCTTACAAGGAAGACCAGTTAATATGACTATTACACACCAACCACTAATGCCAAAGATGAGAAAATTGAAGATTTTTACCAACTTCTTCAGTCTGAGATTGATCAAACATGCAGTCAAGATGCGTTGATAATTATTGGCGATTGGAATGCAAAGGTTGGAAACAGGATCAGTAGTTGGAAAATATGACCTTGGTGATAGAAACGATGCTGGAGATCCCATGATAGAATTTTGCAAGACCAATGACTTCTTCGTGGCAAATACCTTTTTTTCACCAACATAAACATCAACTATGCATGTGGACCTTGCCAGATGGAATACATGGGAATCAAATTGACTACATCTGTGGAAAAAGACATGGAAAAGCTCAGTATCATCAGTCAGAACAAGGCCAGGGGCCGACTGCAGAACAGACCATTGATTGCTCATATGCAAGTTTAAGTTGAAGCTGAAGAAAATTAGAACAAGTCCACAAGAGCCAAAGTACGACCTTGAGTATATCCCACCTGAATTCAGAGACGATCTCAAGAAGAGATTTGATGTGTTGAACACTAATGACTGAAGACCAGATGAGTTGTGGAATGACATCAAGGACATGATATGTGAAGAAAGCAAGAAGAGGTCATTAAAAAGTCAGGAAAGAAAGACCAAAATGGATGTCAGAAGAGACTCTGAAATTTGCTATTAAACGTTGATTAGCTAAAGCAAACGGAAGAAATGATGACGTAAAAGAGTTGAGAAGATTTCAAAGGGCAGCTTGAGAAGACAAAGTAAAGTATTATAATAACATGCGCTAAGACTTGGAGATAGAAAACCAAAAGGGAAGAACACACTTGGCATTTCTCAAGCTGAAAGAACTTAAGAAAAAAATTCAAGCCTCAAGTTGCAATATTGAAGGATTCTACGGGGAAAATATTAAATGACACAGGAAGCATCAAAAGAAGATGGAAGGAATACACTGAGTCACTATACCAAAAAGAATTGGTCGATGTTCAGCCATTTCAGGAGGTAGCGTATGATCAGGAACTGATGTTACTGAAGGAAGAGGTCGAAGCTGCACTGAAGGCTCCAGGAATTGATGGAATACTAATTGAGATGTTTCAACAAATGGATGCAGCACTGGAGTGCTCACTCATCTATGCCAAGAAATTTGGAAGATACCTGGCCAACCAACTGGAAGAGATCCAACCAAATGTGGAAATTATTGAACAATATCATCAATATCACACGCAAGTAAAATTTTGCTAAAGATCATTCAAAAGCAACTGCAGAAAGTACATAGACAGGGAACTGCCAGAAATTCAAGCCAGATTCAGAAGAGGATGTGGAATGAGGGATATCATTGCTGATGTCAGATGGATCCTGGCTGAAAGCAGGGAATACCAGAAAGACAGTTACTTGTGGTTTATTGAATATACATAAAAATCATAAAAATTATAGATACCATTGCAAAGAATGGGAATTCCAGAACACTTAATTGTGCTCATGAGGAACCTGTACGTAGATCAAGAGACAGTTGTTCAGACAGAACAAGGGGATACTGCATGGTTTAAAGTCAGGAACGGTGTTGTATCCTTTCACCATACTTATTCAATCTGTATGCTGAGAAAATAACCCAAGAAGGTGGACTATATGAAGAAGAATGTGGCATCAGGATTGGAGGAAGACTCATTAACAAACTTCGATATGGAGATGAGTCCACTTTGCTTGCTGAAAGTGAAGAGGACTTGAAGCACTTACTGATAAGGATCAAAGACCACAGCCTTCAGTATGGATTACACCTCAACATAAACAAAAATCTTCACAACTGGACCAATAAGCAACATCATGATAAACGGAAGAAAAGACTGAAGTTGTTAAGAATTTCATTTTACTTAGATCCACAGTTAACGCCCACGGAAGCAGCAGTCAAGAAATCAAACGATGCACTGCATTGGGCAAATCTGCTGCAAAAGACCTCTTTCAAGTGTTAAAAAGCAAAGATGTCACTTTGAGGACTAAGGTGCACCTGAACCAAGCCACAGTGTTTTCAGTCACCTCATACGCATTCAAAAGCTGGACGATGAATAAGGAAGACTGAAAAGAACTGATGCCTTTGAATTGTGGTGTTGGCGAAGAATATTGAATATACCATGGACTGCCAAAAGAATGAACAAATCCATCTTGGAAGAAGTACAGCCAGAATGCTCCTTAGAAACAACGATGGTGAGATTAAGTCTCACATACTTTGGACATGTTATCAGGAGGGACCAGCCTCTAGAGAAGGACATCCTGCTTGGTACAGGGTCAGCGAAAAAGAGGAAGAACCTCAATGAGATGGATTGACACAGTAGCTGCAACAATGGCCTCCAGCGTAATAACAACGATTGTGAGGATGGCGCAGGGCCAGGCAGTGTTTCATTCTGTTGTACATAGGGCCGCTATGAGTTGGAACTGACTCAATGGCATCTAACAGCAACAACAGCTCAGTGGGTTGGACCCGATGGGGACTCAGGACTATTTACCAGCATCATCACTTACATGCTTATGAAGATTAACTACAAGTAGATCTAAGATTTAAATGTTAAACTAAAACCATAGAAATACTAAAAGAAACTTTGGAACCTTAGGAGATTTCTTTTATAATTTAAGATTAGGGAAGGATTTGCAATGATGCAACACCCAAAAGCCATTAAAGGAAAGAGTGATGAATTTGATAGACTATACAAAAATAAAAAACATAAATCTCTGCCTGGTAAAAAAAATCACTATAAGCAAAAGTGGAATA